ATTGATTGAATTTAGAGAATCCGAGAATCAAAATGATAAATTGAAAACATTAATTCAATGTGTGGGAACTTTAAGGTGCACATTTACTCTCTCATTATAATTAGGAGCTAGAATCCATTCATTCTGGGAGAAAAAAAAACAAAAAAATTTTTATCTAAATCTAACAAAAACATTAAATAATAATAGTCGGTCTAGTGCACCTAGACTTGGAAAACATTTACCTGAATTTTTACCAATAGTAATTGACAAAATTAAAGTGGATGATGATGAATTAAGAGAAAATTGTTTACAGGTCATTATAAATAATTATTTTGTAATTAAAAATTAATATCAATCCTCTTCTTTAACGTCAAAATTATCAATAGGCATTAGAATCATTCGTGTTACGGTGTCCTACAGAAATGTCTTCACACGTCTATACTATAACTGATCTTGGTTTGACTTATGCAAAATATGATCCTAATCTAAATGATGATTTGGATGATGACAATGAGGAGGAGATAGAGCAAGATGTAGAAATGGAAACTGAGGACGAGGAGGATGAGGATGAGGATGAAGGGTGCGTGTAGTTAATAAAACAAGTATTTGATGGTTTTTGAATTTTTTTCGAGTATGATTTATTAATGTGATAAATACATTTACAGTGATTATTCCGACGACGATGATATTTCTTGGAAAGTCCGAAGAGCATCATTGAAACTTTTATCGGCAGTTATTGCCACAAGACACGAGCTTCTATCATACTTTTATCAAAAAGTTGCTCCTGTATTGGTTTCCAGATTCAGGGAGCGCGAAGAATCTGTTCGTGTCGATGATCTTCAAACTTTCATTGTTTTATTAAGACAAACTTTGGTATACGGCACTAATACCTACATCCCGAGAGATGATGATCATCAACCAAAAAGAGTGCGTGTTGGTACTGAAGATTCACAAGAAAGGTATTAACTATAATTAATTGACAATAATAATTATTATTATTGATTGGCAAATACTAATAAAATCAAAAAAAAAAATTTTTTTCTGTAATATAGCCCTAAACAAATGTTAAGAAATTTAGTTCCGAGATTAAGTCGTAATCTTCATAAACAATTACTTTCAAAATCAATTATCACAAAACAAACTGGTTTCATACTTTTACGTGAACTGATTACAGTATTGAATGGAGGTCTTGAAAATCATCTGGACTATTTTGTACCCGCAATTGAAACTTCTTTATCAACTCCATTGGATTCAAGTCATCATCATCACATTAGCACAAATTCTAATCTCAAGATAGAAACCTTAAGTTTTCTTCGTCAACTATTCAAAGTTCATCCTGCTCAAGTATTCCATCCTCATCTAACCAGACTATGTCCACCCATAATCGCATCCGTTGAAGATAAATTCTACAAAATCACGTCAGAGGCTTTTCTAGTCTGTATTGAGTTGATTAAAGTCATCAGACCAATTGAATACCAAGAAGACGCCAAAACCTACAACGTGCAACCATTGGATCCAACTTTCAAATCCTACATATTGGATATTTATAATGTTACTAAATCACGTCTTTCAACAACCGATGCCGACCAAGAGGTAAAGGAACGTTCAATAGTATGTCTGGGGGTCCTTATATCTCAGGCTGGTGATAATCTAAAGAACGAACTTAAGATTTGCATGCCGATATTATTGGATCGTTTGAGAAATGAGGTGACACGTTTGACCACTGTTAAAACGTTTACTAGCATAGCTGATAGTCCTGTTTGTAAAGGTCAAGAGGTTAAAACAGCAGTTGTTGGTGCTATTAATGAAGTAGCTGTTTTATTAAGGAAAAGTCATCGTCAATTAAAAGTTGCAAGCTTAGTTTGTTTAGAAGTATTCATCAGAAGGTAATAATAATGTTGGAAAATTTTTTTTGCAAGCGTAAGCACATATTTATTTATATATATTTATAGATACGGAAACGATTTAGGAAGTGACTCGTATACACGTGTACTTGAAGAATTAACACCTCTTATTTCAGATCAAGATCTTCATTTATTACCATTAGCTTTAAATACTGTTGTTTCAGTTATGCGCAGCAGCCCCAGTTCACTTGACATAATATATAAAGATATATTACCATCAGTTTTTCGTCTTGTACAATCAACTCTAGTTCAAGGAGCAGCTTTGGATAGTCTATTGATTTTCTTTGAAACCTTGATTGCCACAAATCAGGCTGATTTTTCTAGACTTTTCAATGGTCTGATGCAACCTGCTATAACTGAAGAGTCTGGACAATTGACACTCTCAAAACAGGTTTTATTTTTTATTTATTAACTTAACCATTTAGTCAATTATTGTTTAATAATTTATATACATTGATTATATTTATATCATATAGGCATATTCCACAATTGCCCAATGTATGGCTGTATTATGTGTTAACACGCCTAAAAATTATTGTTCAACAACTGTCGATGATTTTATTAATAAAATTTCGGTTTGTGAACATTATATATATTTAGAAGAGAGCGAAAAGTATTTTATTAATTAAAAACTTCTGATATAATAACGATATTTTTTGTTTCTTATCTTTTAGAATCCACAAACGTCTGATTCCATTAAATATTTGTCATTATTGGCTATAGGTGAAATAGGCAGGAAAATGTACGCATTTCTTTATTGATATTATTAATTATTAATAAATTTATTATATTTTAACTTTTTTTTTTTTTTTGTAAAAAGTGACTTGAGTCAACATGCAAATTTACATGTTACAATTTTATCATTATTCTCGGCACCATCTGAAGATACAAAATCAGCTGCTGCATTTGCACTTGGTAATCTTAGTGCAGGAAATGTCAGTAAATATTTACCAATTATAATTGAGCAAATAGCTGGTGATCAGAAACAACGTTATTTGTTATTACATGCTCTCAAAGAAGTAATAAAAAAATTTTTTTTGAACTTATTACTATTATTACTATGACTATTATTGTTAGTAGTATTATTATAATTACTATTAGTGCTTAAGATTAGTATTATTTTATATATTTTTTATAGATCATTTCACGTTATTCAAATGAAGAAGGTGTTAAAGCTTTAGGCCCTTTTGCAGATAAAATCTGGTTAGTATTATAATATATAGTGATTTATTATTATTATTATTATTATTATTATTATTATTATTATTATTATTATTATTAGTATTAAATACTTTAAATTGATTACATCATTAACAAATGCACATATATAATTGTAGGAATATATTGTTTGATAGTGGTAAAGGCGATGAAGAGGAGGGTACCAGAAGTGTAGTAGCAGAGTGTCTTGGTAAATTAACATTAGCAAACCCAAATAAATTTTTGCCAGAGCTTCAGGTATATCTTAATAATAATGGTATTAAATATTAAATATTTAATGTTAAATAATAGAATCACATACATATAATTCATTTATTTTTAAAAGAAACGTCTTCGATCTACATCTGCACAAACTCGTGGTACAGTGGTGACAGCTGTTAAATTCACATTTATCAACCAAGGACAACAATATGATGAATTGTTAAGACCTATTATTATAGATTTCTTGTCCTTGATTAAAGACGGAGATTTGGTTTGTAATACATTATACTTTTTAATTGTGTGTTTATTTTATTCGCGCGCTTTCCTTTTTGGTATTAAAATTGTATCTTTTCTATCCCCCCAAAAAAATTACAAAAGAATGTTCGTAGGCTTTCATTGGGAACATTAAATTCAGCTGCACACAATAAACCACATTTGATTCGTGATGTTCTGAATCAACTTTTACCATTATTATATGAAGAAACAGTTATAAAAGAACATCTTATTCATATGGTGGAAATGGGACCATTCAAACATAAAGTTGATGATGGTCTTGATATAAGAAAGGTGATGAACCATTTGCTTTCTTATGATAAAATTTTTTATGCTAATCATTCATTATTAACTTGAATTTTTACCAATGATATGATAAAGTCTGCGTATGAATGCATGTATACGTTATTGGAAACATGTCTTGATAAACTTGAAATATATAGTTTCCTTACACGGGTGATAACCGGATTGTCTGATCAACATGATATCGCTATTCTTTCACATAATATGTTGATTAGATTGGCTCATGTGGCTCCAACAGCTGTCACCCAAAGTAATTACTAAATATGAAATTTGAATTAAATAAATAATAATATAATATTTCTATAAATATTATTTATGTATTGTGTAGGGTTGGATGAAACGGTTGATCCACTTAAGGGAACGTTAACACATCGTATGAAAGATAACGCTGTTAAATCAGAAATTGATAAGAATAACGAACTGTGTCGATCTGCAATTAGAGTTGTGGTGACTTTAAGTAAATTAGCTACTGGGCATGGTATGAAAATGAAAACTATTAATAAATATTATAAAAAAAAAATAAATATAAAAAATTGAGAAATATTGTATATTTAATTTTTAGGCGGAGGTACACCTAAATTTGATGCATTTGTAAGAGATACAAAAGTAGGACATTGGTCTGAATATTATAATTCTTATCAAGTTGAAATGGGATCAAAAGAATTTATAATTACAGGTCATGGTGATAGTATGGATACTTCATAATCTGGGTTTTTATAAGTGAAATATTATTATTATTAATTTGTAGAAAAGCAAATGCGAAAAATTTTTTTTGTAATTTAGAATTAATTAATATCAAAAAAAAATAAAAATCTGATCTTATTTATATATTTTTTACATCTCATATATGATGTAAATTATAATAATTAAATAAATAAATTAAATATCTATTTACTTAATTATTTTTACAAAAAAAATAAAAATAAAAAAGTAAAATAATAATATGATAAACAATCATTAAATATATATATATACAAAATATCAATATAAGAAAAGATACAATAAATAAAGTCGAAAAAACTTGATTAAATAATTAATTAATATTGTGAAAGAATGAAATTATGCAGTGGTGATGGTGTTGAATTATAAATATTAATAGAAACCATCATCTACTAAATTCTGTCAATCCTCACATTCAACCTCAATAATTCTACGTAATTTTTCAATTTCGTTCCTTGAGACATTCTCACACCTGGAAATATCTAATGTTTGCAAACTACCAATGCAATTTTCCTCAATCAATTGTAATATGGAATCATTAACCGAAGGTGAATCACTGACAATCAACGTGTTCAACTTTTTACAATTCTCCACCAGTAAACGAAACGATTCCAGTGAGAATTCATAAGAGGTTATATCTAGATGCATCAGATTTGAACAATGTTGACCAATTGCTTTTATCAAATCTGATGCATCTGTTCCTATCATGTGACATGACTCGATTTCAAGTCGTTCAAGTGACAAGCCAATTGCGCTAAGCATTTCTATCATTGCTGGTTTTTCAAATGGTCTAATGTCACGTTCAAAACACATTAAATTTTTTGCATAATTTCCTAATGCTTGAATTCCTTCCGAAAGATCAGAAACCTCGTTATTAATATAATAATTATTATTATTAGTAATAATATTGTTATTATTATCACTGCCGTTGCTACCACCACCACTACCACCATTATTATTAACATTGTCATTATTAACATTGTCATTATTAGAAGATTGTGGATATACTAGATGCACTTTACGTAAAGTAGTTGAAGATTTTTTTGCTATTTCGACTAATACATCAGCAGGTAGTAATGTTCTAGTGAAATCTATGTTGTGAAATGTACAATTTTTAGCTATGGGCATTAAAAGATATGATATGGAAATATTTTCTGGAAAATTTTCTACGCTCACCATGTAGAGAGAACGAAGCTCTTTACAGGCTGCGATACCGTACAATGGTTTAGTACAACTTTCTAGATTGCAAGCATTAATTCGAAGTTTAACCATATTTTTTGATTGAGACTCGAGAGCATCCAATGTCTCATTAATATTTTCGGCATTGCGTATTTTAAGTTTTGTCAAACATTTTTGTGACCTGATGAATTTTGCCAGGTATTCGTCAGAACAATGCTCAGCTTTAAGTTTGAATGTTTTGAGTTTGTTGCATTTCTCTGTTAACATGTATAATGCCTCGTTTGTGCACGCGAAGAACCCCATATTTAAATATTGTAGTTCTGTTGAACATCTACTAAATGTTAACAAGTTATAAAGTTGATCTAGTTTTATCGGTGATGATGTTTGATCCCCTGATTCTGCAAAGGTGCATTTATGAAAGTAGGCTTTCCTAACAAACCCTTCAAATAAATCTTTGAAATGCTTTTCAATTGCATTATCACGATTATTTGGATCGGATCCATATGTTTCTGTATACCAGAATTCCACACATTTTAATAAAGCTGGTAAATGTAAATTAGTCATAAAACGCATATAATCGTATGTAGGATTTCTTCTTTGATTATTATTATTATTATGATTATAATTATAACCATTATGACCATTGTGACCATTTTTTTTTGATGATAATGATGGTGATGATGATGATGATGATGATGATGATGATGATGATGATGATGATGATAATGATAATACTGGTGACGACGACGATGACGATGACGGTTCAACATTATTATTACTATGGGGCTGTTGTTCTAAGCGAATTTTTTTTCTAACATTACTATAATTGAAGGAAGGTGAATAAGTGTCATGACAGAGTTTAAATGTGTCTATTAATCGTTTTGCAACCAACGGACGGTCTGTTCCTGACATCCAAAAATTCCATGGGTCTTTATATAAAAATTTCGTTGCACGCTTATTCCACTAAATTATAATAGTAATGACAACAAAGACGTTAATATTAATTGAATGTTGAATGTGAAAAGAGCATATACACACACATGTACATATGTTAGAAGCAGTTTACCTTATGGTTCAGAAGAGCAACTTTGTACAACAAGCCAGCACCACCCATTTCTTCACCGAAATTTCTAAAAAGCACTTCAGAACAATCATAATTTAAATGGTCCATATTAATTTATTATATTATTATAAAACTTTATAGTATTGCAATTTTTATATGTTTATTTGTATAGACGATAAATTTAAAAACTAGAAAAAGAAAAAGTTCTAGATTCCCGAAATTAAAAATTTTTTTTTATTTTTTAATGTAACATTCTTTCTAAACTAATTATTTGATGTTACACGAACAATCATGTAATGCAATGCATTCCATTTTGATTTGATTCGATTTAAATTGCTAGTAATGGAAAGACAAAGAAACAATTATATTAATAGTATTTTTTTTTTAATACTGAACAAAAAAAAATTTTTTTTTCAAAATAAAAATCTATTTAATTGAAAAAAAATGACATTTTGTAATTTAGTGTCATCAGATAGAAAAAACTTTGTAAGTAAAACTTATACTGATATAAATAATAATGCATCTTCAATTGCAAATAATATTTATAATAATAATAATAATAAAGATAGTTCATCAAATAAATCTTTTGAAGAAATAAAAATTGCTACATTTTTATCATTAGTAACTGAAAATAAAGAACTTTTAGAAAATGAAATAGAGTATTGTAAAAAAAAATTTATTTATGAATTTGAATTAAGTAAAGCAGTCTATAAAAATGGTAAACCAATAGAATGTATCAAATGTAATGTTAAAAGATATTCAGATAAGTATTGTGAAAGCTGCATCAGCTTACATTTAAAAAGTCTTTTCAATACCTGGACGTCTGGAAACAATATCATTGATAATTTTGTTAGAGAATGTCAAATGCTCTCATCTCTCCCAAGACACCTTGTAGAATGGATCCCTTTTGATCAATTTGAAAATGTCAAATATCTGACAAAGGGAGAATTTGGATCTATTTATACTGCAACATGGAGAATAGGGCATATTTTTGATTATGATGAAAATAAACAAGAATTTATTAAATTTGGATCACAGTGTGTGGTATTAAAATGTTTAAACAATTCAAACAAGCCTGGAAAAAAATTTTTTGATGAGGTCAGTAGTAATTTTGATTTAGTACGAAATGAAAAATAAATGAATTAAATGAAATAAATGATGAACTAAATTATTTAATTAATTATATAAAATTCCAGGCATTAAATTATTGTAAAATTAAATCAGAATTGATTAATAATTGCTATGGTATAACCAAATTCTCTGAAAATAATAACTATGCAATGGTTCTGAATTATGCTTCAGAAGGAAATTTAAGAGATTATTTAGAAAAAAACCATTCAAATTTAACTTTAAAAGATAGGTTTATGCTGTTTTATTGTTTATGTTCATCCTTATATGACATACATGAAGAAAATTTAATCCATTGTGATTTACACAGTGGGAATATACTAGTAGATGGAGGTGCTTGTTTTATTGCAGATTTAGGAATGTGTGGGCCAGTTGATGACGAATTATCAAAAAAAATTTATGGAATCATGCCATATGTTGCACCTGAAGTTTTTCGTGGAGACAAAAAAACAAAAGAAACAAATATTTATGGCATAGGAATGTTAATGTGGGAAATATTTTCAGGTTGTTCTCCATTCAGTGATAGGGCACATGACATGTATTTAATTTTGGATATTTATAAAGATTTAAGACCACCAATTTTGCCAACTATGCCAGAAGAGTATGTAGAAACGATGGAAAAGTGTTGGGATGTTGATCCATCTAAAAGACCGACTATTGGAATGCTTTTGGATTTTGCCGAGGACTGTTTAAAAAAATTTTATATGCATGAAGATTTGAACAATGAAACTACAACTCTCACTGACAATAATTCGAGTTATGATAATAATACTAGTAATAATTCACAGCAAATACAGAAACGACATCCACAAGCATATAATAGAAGCAGAATATTGGATGATGAGATTGCTAAATTAGAAAACTTGAATAATATTGCTTCTTATAAAAGTTTACAACATGGTCTCGAGTTTAACCTATTATCTGAAGAAATTTCGGAAATTGGTGACAATGATGACAATAATAAAGGTGAATTAATTGTTAATTGTTGCTAGCAAATTACTTTATTTTTTAATTAATTGATTGATTAATTGATTTATTAGACACTAATAATGATAAAGAAGAAAATCTAGAAATTATCAACGATGTTGATGAAATAGTTGAAGAAGAATATGATTAAGGTAATTCTTTATATATTAAATGGTTTATAAAAGTGGGTTTGTTATAAAGACTATTTATTAAGTTGTTCCTTCAATTTATTTTAGATTAAATTTAAAAATCGGATTTATATTATTATCAAGTTAATATCAGATTTATTTAAAATAAATATGAATAATAAAAAATAAATTTATTTAAATTAAGGAGCCGCCGTACTTGGATAAAACTAATATTAATATAGAAAATTATGAACACGGATTAATCATTAAATCCGATATTAAGTTAATTCAGAGACTTTTTGAACGCACGCGCCCATTCATTATTTCATATATAAAGATGATCTGAGAAATATTTATTTTATTTAAAAGTATTGTTGTTACAAATAACATAATATGCAGTGTCTTATAAAAAGTAAATTCGGATAATTTATCATGCTAACAATTTGCACGTGATTATACAAATCTTGACTAATTAGAGTTATTTCTAAATTTGGTCAATCCAAAATTAAATTCTTTTTGGTGCAAATACGCGTGTGTAGCATTATTATCCAATCAAATTTTGAATTTCTGGAAATAGTTTCTAAATTTGTAAACCACACAAAGAAATTTAAATGTGCAATTTACTTCTTATGATATTCAAATGATATGTAAATGTTGTAAAATCAATGATATCAAATTTCCTTTAAAAATTTTTTTTTTTTTTTAAAGAAATTTACAATAAATAATTTAATGGGACGGGATGAATTCAATTTATTATAAATATATTAATATAAGAAATCATTAATTGAAATGCTATTTCCCACAGTAATTTTTATTTAAACGACTGTAAAAATCGCCATTCCATTGTCGATTATTGGTTACAAATAAAATGTGAGAAATAATAGAAAATATTATAGACATTATAATGATGAATATTAAAAATAGTTTGAGCTTATTTTACTGTTACCATTATATGGCTATATTAAATGTTATAAATAAAGTGCTGTGTCTTTTCACGCATGAACTTTTTTTATACACGCATACACTCACACACTCACACGCACCACATTCAAACTCACATTCAAACTCATATTAGGTTATCACCCAGACCATTTATTTAATTTTTCAGTCAGCAATAATAGCTATTATATTTATCATTATTATATTAGAAGAAATAAAAATAGAGTTTTTCCTAGGAATAATACATTACATTATATTATATTATTGTAATACAAAAAAATACTTGAATCAGGACAATATACAAATACACAATAATACTAGTATTAATTAAACAATAATTGTTGTTGTTGTCAAATTTTAAAATTTAAATTGTTTCAACCCCCACACAAACACACTTACTTATAAATATGATTTTTTGACAGGTTGTTTTTAAAACTTTTAGTTTGTTACCCTGAAATTTAATTAATAACAAAACAAGAAATCAAACAAGATTTTTATTTGGACAAATGAATATCATCTAACCAAAAAACTATATATAATGATAATAGTAATTTATAATTTATAAACAATATTTTTACATATTCCTTTTCACTTTTCAGATTTTCCTTCCATACACCCACCTGACCGATATAATCCAATCAAATTAATTAATTAGTACACTGACCATCTCAACAATTGCTTATTAAATCATTGTATTGATTCTTAATTATAATCATAACAACAATAATTATTATGTATCAAGGATTTTGAATATATTGATTGTTCTTTAATATCGATATCGATATCGATATCATTTGCCATCATTAACAATAATTAATGAGCAGAAGAAAGAAGAAAGAATTTAAATTTATCTAAAATTAGAATATAAATTATTTTTCCGTTTTAAAAAAAAACAAAGCTCGCAGCTACATATATTTAAGTTCACAATTAATTTGATTGTGAGAGTAAAAATTCGACGTATATTATCTAAAAGATCCTTGATATAGAAAAAAAATGAGATTTTTCATATTTACATCTACATCTACAGCAGCTTATTGGAGTGTGTATCGCATGGCATAACAAAAGATGCCTGTGTCTATTTTTGTTTTTATCTTTGTTTACTAACTGTGGCAATATCACCTTTTTTTTTTTTTTGCTTGTATTTATATTTATTATCTGACAATTAAATTGCATTTAAATAAATTAAAAATAGAAATTTCCATTTTTGCTACCATTAATCGATTCCATTACATTATCTCACATAATAATAAATAAAATATTTAATAGGAATGTCGGTTAGATTATAGAGAAGGAGAGAGAGAGTGAAGGCGAAAAAAAAACAACAACATGGTTATTTTGATTGTTTTTTAATTTTTTAATCAAATTAATCGATACAGTTCAGGAGTTAAAAATAATTTAATTGTATCTCGTTTCATTTCTTTCTAAATTTCATTTCTTTATGTTCTCGGTGGCTATTGATTGTTTTAATCTCCAAATAAGTAGAATTCAATCAATAATCAATCAATCAATTAATTAATTAATTAATTATATCAGTCGAATTTATTTTTAATTTATAAAAAATAGAATAATAAGAATCTTGCATTACATGCATGACATTACATGACCATTAATTAATATTATGATTAAGTAAAAATAGTTAATATTATGAATTATTTTTTTTTTATTATTATTATTTTTAAAAATTTCTTTATCAAAAGAATTTAAATAAATGATTCATGCTCCAATTAAATTGTTTTCAAGTGAATAAGTAAACAGTAATCATTTCATAATGATTATGTAAAGACTGTGTTGTGTGACACATTAAAAAATTAATTCTCATTATATTTTTTTTTAAAAGCAAGTTATTTTTTTGATTTTGTGTGTGTGTATGTGTGTATGTGTGTGATTTGATGTAAAAATACAGCATTATTAAAAATAATAATGACGAATCATATAATAAATATAATA